GCCAGAAAAATTTTGTGCAGTGTGTACAGAAGGTGCTGTGATTGATTGAAAGTATCTAAAGCGGTTTGCAAAGTTTCTTGATATTACTGACATTTTGGCCAAATAATTCTTTGCTGTGGGGCTGTTTTATGCATTGGGAGATATTTGGCAGCACCCCTGGCCTCTACCCACAAGAAGCCAATAGTGGAAAATAGCCAACACATTAAAAATATCCAAATCAATACAGTTATTGGTGAAAGTGAAAAATGTATCTTTTATTTCATGGAAAAAACTAGATAGACTTTTTGGCCAACCCAATAAATAGAACTGATTTCTTTACAAAAAAGGGACAATTTGGAGGCAAATATACATGTGGGGAGAGGGCCATGTAAAGATAAAGACACGTAAAGAGACGACAATGGAGCCCTGACCATTGCGGGGTCGGTTGAGTGGGCGTTGTTCTGCACTGGGTTCTACTCCCAGTCAGGGTACAATGTGCCCGGGTTGTGGGCTTGGTCCTTGATCAGGGCAGGTGTGTACAAGAGGCAACTGATTCATGTTTTTCTCTCACCTCCACGTTTCTCTCCCTCTGTTCCCCCCTCCTTCCTTACCCCCAACCTCTAAAAAAAAAGGCAATGTGAAGAGATAGGGAGAAGACGGCCATGAGCGGGCTGTGGAGGGCTGCAATAGAACGTTCCCTCTCAGTGCTGGAGAACCAACTCTGCTGGAACCCTGGTTTCAGACCCCAGGGCTCTGAGAGAATGAATACTTTGTTGCTTTAAGCTGCCCAGTTTATGCTACTTTCTTAGGCAGCTCTAGGACACTAATACACTATGCCATTCTGCTATGGTTTTATACAGTCTTCATGATCAATTGATAATATGACCCCATTCCTTTTTTAAAAATCACCTTGGACTGAAACCTTGAGCCCCTGCTTGATTTTCACATCAGAGCCGCAGTCCTTTGCCCAGTCTTTTCATTAAGAGCCTGCGGCCTTACAGGAAGCCCAGACATTTGTTGGGATGCAGCAGGGTGACTGCTGAGTGCACGCATGAGCTCTGGAACGTTCACAACAGGCAAAGGACTGCCACGTGGCCTTGGACGAGTATGTTAATCTTTCTGTGCCTCAGTTTTTTTCCTTTTGTAAGATAAGTAAATAGTAATTTTAAGACTTAAGAGAATGGAATAAATCAAAACATTTAAGGTACTTAGAACAGGGCCTGGCCAACAGCAAGTAGGTGATAAATATGTGAGCTGTGCCCTGGCTGGTGTAGCTCAGTGGACTGAGGACCAGCCTGAGAACCAAAGGGTCCCAGTTCGATTCCCAGTCAGAGCACAGACCTGGGTTGCGGGCCAGGTCCCTGGTGGGGAGCATGTGAGAGGCAACCACACATTGTTTCTCTCCCTCTTTCTTCATGCCTTCCCCTCTCCATAAATAAATAAATATATAAATACATAAATAAATAAATAAAATCTTTTTAAAAACATGTGAGCTACTCTGAATCTCGTCAACTTCCCTGTAATGGAGGTATCAGCTCATCTGACAGCGATGGAAACTGAGGCTGAGAGAAGTCAAGTCGGGAAGCTGGTGGACGGGATTGTTGCAGGTTGGGTCACCAGGCTCTGAGGGAGGAGCCATGTGGAGGAAGCACATCTGGGGCATTCTCCAATCAACAGGTGTGCGGGGGCGGGGGGGGGGGGGGGCGGCAAAAGAAGCCAGATTAGGAAGGGCAGAAGGAACGGAGGACTGCGATGCAGTCACAGCAAAGGCTCTCCATCCAACGGGAACAGAGTGGGTCTGATATGTCCAGAGTTTCTGATGCTCCCTTCCAAAGGTAAAGTCAAACTCCCCTTGCCTCGACCACAGGCTGCATTTAGGGACCCCCTTCTAATAACGAGCTGAAAATTTGATGTGAGAAGACAGAGCCTAGGCCCCTCAGGGCACTGCAGTCTCTGCTGCTTCCCTCCAGGCTCCACTGGTCTAGGGGAAGTCAGCTGCCAGGCTGTGAGGGCTTGGGAGCAGCCTATGGCGAGTCCTGCAGGTGAGGAGCTCAGGCCTCCAGCCAACCGCCACCTAGGAAGCGGATCAGACAGCCCCAGCCACACGTAATGAACCAGGTCAGGAGCCAGGAACCCAGGAAGGTTGCAACTAATTTCCTGACACACAGACACCATGAGATAATAAATGTTTCCTGTTTTCAACAAAAATTGTTGGGGAAATTTGTTACGGACAACAAATACTAATATAGGAAGATGTGGAGCTGGAATTGTCCCTCAGAGTTGTCCTACACTGGGGTGAGGAGGAGAGGTCTACAAGCTGACCACTCGTTAGAAATGGCCAGCCCTTTTAGAAGGGACCATGACTTGGAGCAAAGCAGTTATCTTCAGCTGAGGGCAAGTTGTTAAAGAGTGACTTAGCTAAAAGCCATTCAGACCAAATTCTGAGTGGCTCAGGGATGTTCTTCAGTCCCGAAATGGAGGTCTGGGGAGAGTACTGCACTATCCACCAAAAGAGGTTTAGCAGGCCTTCCCTGCTGTCTCAGACTGAGCACTAGGCTCACAGCTGGAAACCGCAGCTAGGGGGCCCCACCTTCTAATGCCAGATGCCCACACTCGACACTTTCCTGGGGGCTTAGTAAGACGTAGACCTATCCCTGCCACCACCCAGTATTTCCCCAATGCTCTCCTTTTCAGTCTGTACAAGAAGGCAGGGGACAGAACGAAAGGAGGCGATCAGCCTCGTGGAGAGAACAGTGTTTCTGATGGGAGGTGATGCGAAGGCTGGAAAACAATCTCTCCTTGCTCTCAGTGGGACCTCCCGGAAGGAGAGGCTGGTGTTCCATTCCCTAGTTTGCAGAGCTGTCTAGTCAGCATCCTTGCTGATTTATTCCTGTCTGTATTTCAAGAGGGAGAAAGATTAAAGACAGATAGCAGGGTGGAGAGGAGAGGCCACGGGGCATCCTCCAGTCCAGCCCTTTTGTGTGGCAAGGATGCAAATTTCTCACGAGTCAGGTGGGCTCTGTGGAAGATACAGGGTCTTGCTGGACCTCACGCAGAAGACTGAGCGTACTACTGCCGGGTGCTAGCCTGTGGGCTGAAGGAAAAGATCAAGCTGGGTATGGCTGTCCCTTGGAAACGTATGAAAAGGACAACAGTCCTTCTTACAAGGGCCAGTTACCTGGAGAAGGTGTCAACGAGCACTTGCCTCAATCCTGAAGCCAGGCCTTAAAGAAAGCACAAAAGTGACTGACAGCCTTCCCACCCTCACTCAGGATCCCAGGGCCCACCCAAGCCATGAGATCGGCACTTGAACAGGTTTGATTTTTAGCAACTGAAACTGACCAGAAAGTTACAGTATCACCTAAGGTGTAGTTAAGGGGATGGTAAATAGCGGTGAATGGAGAAAAACAGAATGTTTTATGTTTGGCAGCCATCACACTGAGATGTCTCAACAAACTGACTACACTGGTAATTGCTGGAACTAAAGCTCTTTGCACTTCACCAGTATTCCATAAAGATTATACAAAACCTACAAAGATAAGTAAAATATGGCACACCTGTCCTCAAGGAACAAGTAACGTTCTATTGTAAAGTAAGTATGAAGTAGGTTTGCTGAAGCAAATGGCTAGGATGTGGATCCTTGAGTTTCTTTTCCTGTTTCCCTACATTGTCTACCGAGATTGCTGTTTTACCAGTTGGAAAAGATGGGCGAGTCTGGTGGAAAGGGATCCTCTTCTTGAATTGCAAATAGACTAGACTGTGATTATTAAGTCCCTAATGAATTGTTTTAGAATTGCTGAGTTGGGAGTTGCCAGGAAGAGAACCAAGACAGAGAAGCCCTAGGGCAGAGAGGCGCGGAAAACTGACAACTGACTACCGGGAAATACCACATGTAACAACCTTCAAAAGCAACTGCACCGTCACTGCTGTCCTATAAAATACCTTACATTCTCTAGAGGGAGGCACTCGTGGTACTAATTCATAAAATCGCTTTGCAGAAAATTTAAATAATTCTAGAAGTCATGCAGTTTAAAAAGCACACAACGGCATCAAGGAATTTAAAGAAATCAGAAGCACTTATAAATTTTACCTCTCTGCTTATTGGAGAAGTCCTTGTTTAAAACGTTTACGAGGGTTTTTATTTCCATAAACGTAGTATGTTGCCTAACACTGTATTGCTGTCTCGCCAGAAGGCAACTCTCCCCCCAAAACAATGTATGACTTGCATCTAGTTCAGTCAGCTCTAGGTGGGAATAAAAAGACTAGGCGGTCCGTTCGACTTTGGGGTTTTCATTTCCGGGCACTGCTGAGACCCGAGGCCTGCAAGCCGCGCCTTCCCCCCATTCAGCGCACGAATATGAATATTCAACACCCCGTTCCCGGGGGCTCGCCGAGGAAGTACCCACAAGCCCCCGCGCCCGGTGAACTCCCGCACCACGGTTCCGAGCGGGACGAGGTCGCTCACACTCCCCAAGACCTCGGCCCCTGGCCTGCGGGGCGAAGGCAGCCGAGCACGCCGCCAGCCAGCGCTTTGCAGGCCTTAAGTACGGGGCCGCGGTTCCTCAGAACCCCTGGGGGAAAGTGGAGGAGGTTGAATATGAGAGGAAGAAGAGGGAACGCAATCCCTAGTTAACACTGCCTTAAACCAACTCACTAGCGCAGCGCCGCACAGCCTGATGGGAGCTTCAGCATCCCAGCGCTGGCTAAGCCCGCGACCCGTCTCCGGCACCGCCCCCGCCGCGGCGAACGCCGGGAGAGCCGACTTACCCCTCCCTGTAGCAAACGGGCAGGAAGCGGGGTATTTCCGGCGTTATGACTGTTTTTACGGAAGAGGTGGGGCTAGATTTGTCCCGCCCTTCACGCCCGGCGGGGGCGTGACGATGAGTGATGGTCTCTTGGCCTGCCCCTGCGCCGGAATAAGAAAGGCGGGGGAGCCGATCCGAAGTAGGACGTAGGGTCACGTGACGCAATTGCCCGCGGTGTGTAGAAAGGGGCGGGGCCTGTGCCGGAGGGGCGGGTCGTCCGTCGTTCTTCTCTGGTCACGTGTGACAGGAAGTGGCCCCTGCAGCGGAGTTCTGGAGATGGGGACCTCCCTGGACATTAAGATTAAAAGAGCGAACAAGGTTTACCATGCCGGGGTAAGTGGGGTGGGCAGGCCTGCAGATTTTGTCATTTCCAGGATCCCACGCACCTCTGGTGTCCCTGGGCGGGGCAGGGGCGCGCTGCCAGGTGAGTCCCCGTCAGGTGCGACTGGTGCGCTGCGGGCTGTCTCACCGAGAGGCCCCTCCCCCCCCCCCCCCCCCCCGCCGAAGGAGTCGCCGACGTGTGTGGGGAGGGCGCGCGGAGCCTAGGGGCCGGCGCCGGGGCTGCAGCGCCAACCGCTTGGCTCCTTGAACATCTGGCTCCGCCTTGGGTCCCGGGCTTGAGCTGTCGCAGTGTGCAGCACTGAGGGCGGAGGAGCTCGGTGACCGAGCGACCCGTTCCCCCACTCCTAAGGTGACTGCAAAGATGTAATGAACGAAAAGCAAATTCACCTTCAAAAGGGAAATATGCATTTCAGGCTATAGTCAGCTCTAACACCATGCGAAAGTTACTCATTTCTCTGGCTTTATTTTTTGAATAACATACAGAACGAATGGCATATTAAAATGCAAGTCCAAAAATCTAAACTATGCCATCAATGATTTTTGCGCCACTGGCCGTTTAACCGCCTTGGGCCTCATTCCTTGTTTGCAAAATGAAACTGTTCCAAGATTCCCTGATTCTAACTCGGGGAATGTCAGCCCTTCCTCCTCGTCAGAAGCAGTCACCCTGGGGGATTTTTAAATGCGCTTGTCCAGGTCCCACCCACCCCAAGGAGACCAGTGATTCCAGTGTGCAGCCAATGTTGAGATCACAGGTGCTCTTACCCTCTGCGGAATAAAACTGGGAGTCGTGGTCAGTCACGTGAATGCAGCTAGCTCTCAAAAGGGACAGAATACCCGGTAAAGATCATGAATGGATGCTAAGAGCCTTGGGTTCAGGGTTATTGGGGAAATCTGGTATTTACCCAGGCTCAAATAGTTACCTTAATTGCCGAGGGAAAAGGGTGCATTTACAATGGAAGAATATGGTTGTCCCCACACTGACCAAGACTGACCAGCCGTGAACACCACCTCACCATCACCACTAAGGAGGCTGACCCACATTCTGGTGTAACAATAGAAGGTTCTGGCAGGACACACCGAGGAGGACACAGCTCACCTGTGCAGCGTTCCTGCCAGAAATGTTGGACCAAAACCAGTTCATGAGGAAACAATTGGGCATTGCCAAAATTCAGAACGTTTTGTGAAATAATTGGTCTGGATCCTTCAAAAATGTCAATGACATGAAAAAAGGAATTTTTCCAGATTAAGAGACTAAAGGGATATGATGATCAAATTCAATGCAGAATTTCTGATAAAATTTGAATATAGGCTACATAATAAATAATAGTTTTCTATGGGTATTAAATTTCCTGAATATAATGTTCATTTTTGGTTCCCGAGGAGAATACTGAAACATATAGAATGTATCACAATACATTCTATTAATACATTCTGCTTTATACATTCTGCTCTGTATCTACACATTCTGCTTTAATCCTCAGGAGAATACTGAAACATGTAGAAGTATCACAATTACTAAATTTTAAATGGTCCAGCCATACATTGTGTATAATGCACATGCACACTCCCACGTGTGACAAGAAAAGAGAAGGCAAGTGTGGCAAAATATTAATTAAAATGTTAATTGGTAACTCCAATTGAAAGCTATATGGGTCTACTTTGTATTATTTTTAAAATAACATCTTAAAAAATAAAATAAAATAACATCTTTATTGAGACCCAATTCAAATACCATAACATTTACCTTTTAAAGTATAGAATTCAGTGGTTTTAGCATATTTGTGGAGTTGCGCAACCATCATTATCATCTAATGTTAGAACATTTTTCATCACCCCCAAAAGAAACCATTAGCAGTCACTCATCCTCCCTCCTGTCAGCTGCTGGCTATCACAGATGTGTTCATTCCTCTCTGTCTCTATGGATTTGCCTCTTCTGGGTATTTCATACAAGTGGAATCCTACAATGTGTGGCCTTTGTGTCTGGTTTCTTTCACTTAGCGTAATTATTTTCAGTGTTTATACGTATCCCAGCATGTACCAGTTCCTCATTCCTGCTTATGGATGAATAATGTTCCATTGTGTGGATATACCACATTTTATGTATCCATTCATCTGATGATGGACATTTGGGTTGTTTTCACTTTTGGGCTATTGTGGATATTGCTGCTATGAACATTCTAGTACAAGTTTTTGTGTGAACATATGTCTTCATTTCTCTAAAGTGGATACCAAGGAGGGGAATTGCTGGGTGACATGGCAACTTCCTGTTTTCCGTTTCGAAGACCCAGCAGCCTTTTCCCAAGCACCTGTACCACTTCGGCCTCCACCAGCAGTGGTGGCAGTTCTCCTCTACTTTGTATTCTCGTAACTTTTTCTGTAGCTTGGAAATATCAAAATAAGAATTGGGGACAGTAGTGACAAGAGACTAGGTACGTTTTGCTTTAATACTCATTATTTAGCAAGGCAGCACATTCCACTCAGAGATGTTACTCTAGCTCAGATGCCGACATGTTTTCTGTGGTTTAAAATATGGTACAAGTAATAAAAAGCACACTTAGAAAAGACGTGAGAAATGGGACCAGGAAGTTGACCCAGCTGAAATCCTTGCACAGCTGGGACCCCTCCTGTGGGTGGCAGAGTTGAAGGTGGTATCAGCCGTGTCCACGTAGTGCATAGTGTTTGGTGCCATTATTAGGACCAGAATCTGCAGTTACTGGCTTATGGCAGTGTTTCTCAATTCTCAGTCAATTACACTAAGTGCTTTTTAAAGGAGACTTTATATGACGATTGTAAAAGAAAAACCAGTGTAACCTCCTAAGTAGCTGGTACTATTTTTTTAATTGAGCAAGAATCTGTTAACAAGTTTATTTTTTTGTGTTAAATACCATTGTAAGGATGAAAAACTCAGTCAGTGACTGCCTCACAAGGGATAAGAAAATGAACTCTTAAACCACAGAGAAAGAACAATTCTTTGCGAACTTCGTAAAGGACTGAATGTGCAGCTGACATCTGCTAGTGATGATCTGGTGATACAGTTTGTCCAGTAGCTGAACAGTTTGTTTTTATTGTGTTTTCTAACTGTAAGAGCTAATTAAAGGCTCTTGTGACACTGAGCAAAGCCCATGTGCACACACACACAAAATATGGTCACCGTGGGCCATACTACCAATGAAATAGTACATAAACACATCTTTTTTTCTGGTCCAGAAAAGATAAAAGAAATAGCACTCTGCATGCTTCACTCTTCAAGATGAATTTCCCTAGAAAGAATCTGATGAAAACGGCTGCAATTGCAAGCAGACGTGAAGGAAGGACTGGCGATACCATCTCTGAAGCACACGTTGAGGTTGAGCATGTTTCTCTGAGTGTGCTGCCTTTCTGAGCCTTAAGCTTTCATCTCTCAGGTGTCAGTTTTCTTCTGATGGCTTCATTATTTCTTCCTGAGGTCTTTGACACTCTTCCATGAGTTTCTGTTTCAGTATGGAGTGAAACACTGGTTTTGGCATTGGTCCATCTTGTTTAGAGACATTTAGAGGAACAGCTTTGTTAGATTCCATATCAATTGATGTATCATTTTCATTGTGCATTTCCAAAACACATCTCAATTTAAAATATTTTATTTATTTATTTTTAGAGAGGGGAAGGAAGGGAGAGAAGGAGAGAAACATCATATTTGGTTGCCTCTTGAGCACCCCCTACTGGGGACCTGGCCTGCAACCCAGGCATGTGCCCTGAGTAGGAATTGAACCAGCGTCACCCTTTGGTTCAGTCTGGTGCTCAATTTACTGAGCCTTACCAGCCTGGCCAAAAGCACATCTCAATTTAGAATCCATTAATTTATCAGATTTGGCCTCCTTCTCCACAGCTTTCATATCTGAACTGTTTTGTGGAGCAAAAATTGCCTGGGTCATAAACTTGTGTTTATTCTTTTCGTTGGGATCGTGGTCAAAGGCTGTAGCATTACTGAAGCAGTCACAGTTGACTCTGGGCCAGTGGCTGTGCTTTGGGCCTCACATGGTACTGGAGAGGTGCTGCAGTCTTCACTTGGAAACATACTGTTCTCTCTGATGGATTTCGCAACTAAAGATTTTGTAGTGACTACGTCTGTGAAGGGGCCTTTGTGTTTGAGGTCCGTGGGAGGGTCAAGGACCAGGATCTGCTTGTGCTTCGCCAGGGCCCCAGAGGCGGACGCCATTGGGGAGACAGTGTGGGGTGGGTGGGGAACTGCACACTGTGGCAGTTTGCTGGCTGGGGCCTGGGGACAGGACAATGGCGGTGATGGCTCTGACGAGCTGTATGGGGACATTTCACGGCTCCTGCACCCAAATGCCTGCCACTGTGTCGCTGGGTTGGCGAGCCACCTGCTAGGTCAGCAGCTCCAGGTCTCACAACTGACTCAACCCCACACCACTGGGTGCTGTTTTTTAAAGGGCCCCCCAAAAGTTGTCAAACTGATAAATCTGATCAGGCATGCAGGCTTAGACATGCACCTGTGACTCATGTGTGAAACTCCATGACCTGTGGTTCAGGAGAGGTGGAGCCCGTGGCCACACTGTCATAGCTGCTTCCTAAGCCCCAGGTGGCAGGACCTAGGCTGGCCAGTCACTTGATGAGGTCTCAGTGGCTTGGATAGTGATGTTTCCAGTGTAGTTGGCAATGGTTGTGGGAGCGGTGGCCTCTCTTTCCCCACCCTCCCTGCTCGTAGCCGCAGGTGGAACAGGTAACGGAGGGGTTTTCCGTTTTTTCAGTGCATCTCAACTGCACTGGTAAAAATTTACTCACTAAGGACTTAACTCATGGGTGGCAAGCACAGTACCCACGGTTTCTCATGGCTGCCTTGAGGTGGCCCCCGCCTGTGCTGGCCTGACCCTTACAATCGTAAGTGATTGTTATTGAAGTGAAATGTGTTTGTCCACATAACCGTACAAAACAGCCGTATGTTCTGCTGAGGACTTGGCAGACACTAGTGGGGGGCTTAGTCAGCCGAGCGG